AATCTGAAGCAAAACACAACTCAAACACATTGTTTACGTATTAAACTTGTTACCAATTTCAAAACTCACAGATCACCACCTAAACGCCACGACTGCAACGACTTCCTTAAATTTGTCTGCCAACCTAAACCCAGGAAAAGCATACAACTGCCACAACTTTCATCTTTGGGAGTATATATAGTGGGTAAACCCACAAAGATATGACAGGTAAGCATCGTGTGCCTATGCGAAGTGCAAAAACATACATCAGTAAGTTAAAGTCATAGGCGCTGCCCATGTGGGCCTTTCCCCATCGGCACACCACGATTTGGCACAAGATCTTGTCATCGGCATTTGTTACAACATCGAACAAGTATTAATTAAATACTAAGTTTAACCATGGTCTTGTTTTTTGCCGGAAATGTGTGTTCTGGGCTCTGGGATTGGTTTCTCTGGGCCGAAGTACTGTGCACGATCGGTCAGCTGGGATAGACTCAGCTCTTCACGTGTAAACTTAGCATGGGTAAACGTAGTATTTCACGGATATTTCACGCAACTTCACGGGCACTTCACGATAACATTTTTTGTGGGGCACCGTCTAGGATCGATGTAGGTTCAATCACTTTGTCAAAATCTATGCAGCTCTTCCGCCCGATACACTGCTTCGCATGTTGTGGGGCAGTATCTTCCGGCTTAACAGCTTATGCCAGGGAGAGACGGGGGGCCCACCATGGTTAAGCTTAGTATTTCTGTGTCGATGTTAAACTTGCTGTTTGAAGGCCTGGGCATATACGCATATATAGTATAATTTGTATATACCTCCGACAAAATCATCAACCAAGTATCACGTATCAATTAAGTCCCCATATAGCATCATATAGATCCATATGTTTGATGCTTGAAACCCCTAGAAATGATTGTTAAATCCTCACCATCATTAATCAACCACAACCAATGGCTGTTTTTTTCAAGCAGCCGCTGGATCTTGCCGAAAATGAGCTGTTTCCGGCAACTTCGAACAGCTCCTCGTTCATTGCGGAAACATTCCTTGCTCCGATTCGAGGATGGCTAATGGGTAGATTATATATATATGATTATATACAGTAATAAATGTAAACGGAATGGATAAGTATAGTGGCAAAGTATGGAAATATTATGGGATAATAATTGGATGTAATGGGATTAGTTTGGATAGTTGCCATCAGATTATTTAGCAGTTTGCTATGGAAAGTAACCTATTTACAGATGATTCATAATGATTTACCATCAAAAATTGTGATTGTCCATATTTGCGTCAGATAACCAGAAGGTAATCATCAAAAATGAGTCAAAATGGTGGTATGCTGGCTGGTGATAATAACCCAGTTATAAGTGGAATAACCGAAGTTAGAGGACCTCTTCAGCAGGCTTACTAACCACTAAGCGGGATGATCCTCCAAGTATAATGCAGATCATGATAGGGGTGGTCTTCCAGCTCGGAATATGGATCACATGTGCACGCAGCCCACTTTTGGTACATTCGCATATAAGGGGTTGGTTTAGGGGTGGATTAAGGTATCGTATCTATCCAATCAAAGTCTTCCTGGATTTTGTTTACCCCAATTAAACACTAATCAATCACAGTTTCCTCGCAGCCACTTGCCATTACATGCTGGTTGGGTTTTTGATGCCTGTGGTTCAACAGCCCGTTCTACCAGATTCTTGCAGCTTGGATTCAGTGTCTGAACCCATCTGCTCGTTGACGATGCTGGGGACACTGGGGCGCTCATGTCGACAAGCGACGGCAATCAATACCGCAAGGTTTCGTGAGAAGCCAAAGGGCTGTAGCGTTGAGAGGAAAATAACAGGTGGTCAAATTTTTGAAGCGACATATGGTGACACTAGCAAGGTGGGTGCTGCATGCACAAAGAGTTCTCAGTCGGGCTGTGATGTGGGATTGACCCCATCAGGACTACTCCCTAACATGCAGGTATGGGTCAAAATTGGATGCCCCAAAGCAGGAACCCCTAGCTATCTAGTTTACTACTCAATACAAACCAACAACTGCGGTCCCCTGGGTCTTGTATCCATTACCATTTGTGTGTGTGTTTGTCCATGTTGGTGCGTGCTCGGAAGGCAGGGTATTTGCATAATTTCCCGTAATGATAAACGTCCACAAACCTGGTTTATATAGGGGATCTGCTCGTTCAGGGGTCCAGCATGATTGGACAGTGTTTCTCATAGGCTTTCGAATTGCTGTGGGTTGACGGTTGGCTGAACAAACACATTGATTCCAACAGTGGTTTGGTTCCAAAAGTTTGCAGCCCTTATGTTCAATCTGCAGGCATTGGAATCACTGCGGCTCCAATCATTTTTCTCAAGACAAACCCTTGAGCTATCTATGTGCTTGACAGCACCATGTGAATCTTCGTTCACGCATGTATTTGCAATATATGCTTACCAGTAGTACCGCACAAGGCGGTGGCGGAAGTTTCAGAATAGGAAACCTATAGGAGAGCTTGGTTACTGGTTGTTGTGAATCACGGATGGCAGAGCGATTCCGCTGATGGACTGAAAGGTGGTTGGAGTTGTGTTTTTTGGAATGGTTACAATGGTTGCAGTGGTCACCTGGTCGGTCACCTCACCCACAACTGCTGGATGTAGTGTGGTGTAGCGCAGCTGTAGTTGTAGCGTAGTGGAGTTGTAGTTGTGGTGTAGTGTCATTAGTGTAGTGTAGTTGCAATTGCATTTGTGGTGGTGTAGTGAGTGTAGCGTAATTTAATGTAATGTAGGGTAGTGTAGTGTAGCCTAATGTAGTGTAGTCTAAAGTAGCGTAGTTGTAGTTGTAGTTGTGTAGTGTAGTGTAGTGTGGCGTAGTGTGGTGTAGGGTAGTGTAGTGTAATGTGTCGTGTACTGTAGTGTAGTGTAGTAGTGTAGTGTAGCGTAGCGTAACGTAGTGCAGCGTAGTGTGTTGTAATTGAATGTAATGTAGTGTAGCGTAGTGGAATGGAGTGTAGTGTATGTAGTGTAGTGTAATGAAATTAGTGTAGTGCAATGTAGTGTACAGCGAAACCACTGTTTAAGAACCTACTGCAATAAGAACTTCAGAGGCTGGATTGCTGGACACCCTTTCTGTCAACTAATTGGCATAAGAACCCTACGGTACCCTCGAATTCTAGCTACTGGTTCTTATTCCCCTTTAACGGGTATAAATATACCAAACATTATCAAATAGCGATTATTTTAAAAAAATGTTGAAATCATGTATGTTCCGCATAGTGAGATGCCCTGTAAAAAATCGATCTCCCGACCTCCCGCTTATTAGGTTGACGCTCTACCAACTGAGCTATTGAACCTCTGGCCTTGGTGTCTGCCAACCCTTTATCTAACGCTTTGACCTATTTTTTCTACGGCTGCGCAGCAACAAATCCCTTTCTCCATGTGTTGGCGCGTGTGCTTTTCAGCCCGTGCTGCCTCTGTTTTGGATGGCTGCTCTGTTTTGGATTCGCTGCTTGCAGAGCTGTCTCCGGAGGCACTGTTTCCACATAGTTCTAAATTGGGAAATTACTAAGAATTTGCAAAGCCCTCACCATATGAACCCTTTGAGAACTAACCCGTTAAGAACTTGAGGGTACCCTCGTTCATACTTCCAATATTTTCCACCTATCGCACTTAAGAACCTAGGGTAGGCTGGAAAATTCCTAGTCGGTTCTTATCTAACTGTTCCGCTGTAGTTGGAAATCTAGTGTAGTGTAGCGCAGTGAAGTGTAGTGTAATGTAGTGTAGTGTAGTGTAATGTATGTAGTGTAATGTAATTAGTGTAGTGTAGTGTAATGTAGTGCAAGTGTAAATGTAGTGCAAGTGTGGTTGTAGCTGTAGTTGTATTGTAGTGTAGTGTGGTGCAATTGAGTGTAGTGTAGTGTAGTCTAGTCTAGTGTAGTCTAGTGTAGTGAAGTGTAGTGTAGTGTGGTGAAATGAAGTGAAGTGGAGTGGAGTGTAGTGTAATGTTATTAGTGCTGTGTGGTGTAGTGTAATGCAGTGTAGTTGCAGTTGTAGTTGTAGTTAGTGTAGTGTAGTGTCGTGTAATTATGTGCAATTAAGTGTAGTGTAGTGTAATGTACTTCGCGTAGCATAGTGTAATGTAATGAGTGCAGTGGTAATTGTAGTTGTAGTGGTAGTGGTAGTGTAGAGTAGTGTAATGTAATTAGTTTAGTGTAGTGTAGTGTAGTGGTAGCTGTAGTTGTAGTTGTAGTAGCTGTTGTAGTTGTGTAGTGGTGGCTGTAGTTGAAACTGCGACAAAACCCTCACGTTTTGCTCACTTTTGGCAAGGTGCACACCCCAAGACTTGCCATAGCGGATGCCATAGCGTTTTGAAAATGAGGTTCTAAGTTGTGAGATTACGATGATTTGGGGATAATCTGCTTTATCCCTTTTCAATCAGACAAACGCGATTTAGATTCCCAACATTTCCTGGCACTGAAAAACTACCGCAGGGTGATGAAACGAATCATCCTGCGAGTTAGCGTATAGTATGGAATTGTAATGCCTTGGTGGGAAATCAGTGTGAGAAGAGTCTGTGTGGAACAGTTTGCATCAGTTTGTTTACTAGTAACTCCCTAGCAATTGTAATGAAACACCATGAAACACCAAGGGTGCAAATTCCCAGCAATGATAAAGTTGGACATCTGTGATTAGACGTGCGAAATCAGTCAAGCCCTACATAGCTGGTGACACAATTGGGAATTACGTGGTTTCCCCAGTTGATTTAGAGGTTGGTTTACTCTCCATCAGAGAATCATGTGGATGCTTGTGAATTCCACTGCGAAAAGGATGATTGAAACAACGAGTGCAGGATTTCTTCCACAGGGGATGTCTCATGACCAGGTGCATCTGGGCGACATCGGTGCATCGCTCTTTCCCCGCAATGAGAGGTCACAAGTGCAACCAATATTGATGGATATAGCAGATAAAACATTTTGATATGACATATGACCTGAAATATTGATATAAGATTTATAAGAAGGTCTGGGAACTTTAGGAGCCTATGAAACCACCAATTCACTAAGGACAGGAGGCAGCTCAGACCAAGTCAAGTTGGTTTCGGATGGATCCATCGTCGTATCGAAGACATGCGCCGACGACGGCCACTTGGGTGGATTGGCTTCGTCCGCCAAGGCGTCCTGGCGCTGCACAGCTGGAAACAGGGATAGCCTCTGAGAATATGACCAGCTCTAGGAAATCCATGGTAAACCCTTTTTTTTACAGGGATTTAATGAGGTTTATAATGGTTTATAGCTGGGAATATCTTAACTATAAATCATCTACAAATGATGGATTTTTCCAGCCATGCTTAGCAAAGGGTAATGTGTATTGGGGCGAAACTACCATTAAATGTACGGTTGAAATGTGGATATGATGGGATATCATGGGAAGTAACTGGTAATGTGGATATGCTGGGGTCAAAAAATATGGGATATAACTAACCAACAATCATGGCGAACCGGGAAATCCCCAATATAAATGAACATTCCTTTCCGTTTCTTCACCTGATGTCTCAGCAGTGCCAACGCTCACTTGTTCGGTCACATCCATCGGACTGTTCTCTGCAGTTGGGATTGGTCTTCCGGACCAAAACTTTGGCCTTTCCAAGGCCTCAAGGAAACCACCAAACGATGTTATAGGTCTCTTCCAAAAAGCAACATCATTCAAACAAGCAAACGAAGCTCTCCTCAAGAGCTCCCTCAAAGATAATTTCACCATCTTCAAACACGCAACTGGCAAGAGACAAAAAGCAACTGGTAATAGATCAACGCAAACGAGCCACTAACAAAGCTTTCCCCAAGAACACCTCAGATCTTCTATCACGCAACTGGAAATAGCCAAACGTCTGAAATAAGTCATCAAATGGTGTTATATCAGATCTCTTCCAAAAGGCAACTGGTAATAGACAAATGGAAACAAGCCAACAAAGCTCTCCTCAAGAGCGCCCTTGAAGACAATCTCAACCAACAATGTCATACTCAACAGCGCCATCGATGAAGTGGAAACCAAGATGCTTGCAAAATGCTTCAAAACAAAGTCACCCACCCTGGGGGTCGGGGGCGGCAAATCCACCATGCAAGAAGGCAAAAGGGTTGGGGTCGGGGGGGGCAGTTGCCCCGGGAGTCGGCACTGCGACTGTAGGCATGGACGGCATTGGAGTGGCCATGGGTGCTGGCATGCGAATTGGGGGTGATGCAGGCACAGGCCCCCACCACCTTGACTGAGAGTCAAGCCACCATACCAAATGGTATTCCAGGACGCAGCTGGGCTGCAAACCAGCCAAAGCAGTGTCAGCCAATTCATGCCAAATTTCCGCAAAGACCCTTGCAGCCACAACGCTGATGGCCCGCAGCAGCAACAGTAAAGCCATAATGAGCAATGCCGCAATGAGTTTGGGGAACAGGATTGCCAGCCCGACCACGGCCATGACCACAAGGCCACCAGATTTGGGAGCCCACCGCTGGCACATGCTGGCACCACTTCGTGAGCTTGCTCTGCACGAAGGATGCAAAGCCTCCTGCTGCAACCGGATCCACCAAAGGCAGTGGAGTAACTGCTTGCAAAGCTTTTGTCACCTTTGCCATCGCTGCTGCTACTTGCTTTCCTCGTCCACCATCTCGCCAACGGGCTGCAGATTCAACAAAGTCAGGGTTGGCTAGAGCTTGACCAAGAGGTTGGCCCCCTAGCGGGCCCTGTGCAACTGGAACCTCCGCCAACTCAGCCATGACCTGGACCATGGGGCCCGCAGCGCCGGCAGCAAAGTCTGCCTGAGCCACTGGGTGCACTGGAAACTTCTTCCGCATCTGGTGCTGGAGGTGCACACCGCTTGCGCTTTGAGGCTTGCCCTTTTGGGCCTGCCATGCACGGTCAAGTGAGGTCAGACAGATCACACAGCGCGGCTGCTTCATCCACGGACAAGGGAGGCGCAGGGCGCTAAAGGTGGAGTTTCGAGCCACCTCACACCTTCACGGATTGCAGATGCACGCTGCTTTCCTTGCTCTGTCACAAAGCTAGTGGCATTAAATAAATTGATTCCTGGATATAGTACTGCAAAGTCTGCGCGCTCTTCCAGATTGCCATGAGTAGCACCACCAGACCGGAAAGAAGAAAGGGTGTATCCCAAGTTCCCTATGTTTAGCCAATTACAAGCTTCTCGCAATTTCCGGCTCCACAACAGCATTGAAAACCCAAAAACCAAAGAATCTCTCTTCTGTTCGGTGGTCCACCATTGTAGCCAGCGGATCAGCGGCTGCTCTGTACATACCATCAGAGGGCCGGAGAAGGCTTTCAAAAGCCAACCACCAACCCAAGGCTGAAGCCCACCATTCACGGCGGTGACGTCCTTGTTCCTCCAAACCTTGAACTAAACCAGCCAAAACTAAAGCCTCTAAGACCCAGCGTGTGACTGGAATCCTAGACCGGGAAGCTAGCAAAGTTTCCCAGCCCCTCAGCGCGCACCAGGTTGCCCGCAGCATAGCCCCAAATATGCACAATTTCCTCTGCACAGCCACCACTGCTAGGGTAACCTTATAATGTCGCACTCCTTCCTCATAAGCATCTTGAACGACTTTTCCATGAGCCTATAAACTTGCACAGCCGCAAGAGCCCGGGTCAACCGAAGCCCTCGCCATTATGCTTGTTCATAACCTCAAGCCCAGCCGTCCCGCAGAGAAGACTGATAGGGAGCCATAAACCAACCGTACGCAACCTAACCATAGCCAGCCACCACTACTAACCATACCAAAGAGCGCACCTCTGAGCCAGTTCTCGGCAAAACTTCAATGGATAAGCTGCAGCCTTCCTAGCGCCTGATTGATCCATGGGGCAGTAATCATGAGTAGCTTTCCTATTAACAGGATCCTTCCAACCCCTATAGCAACACCAATCCACGTTTACTGTCCAAGCTCCTGTCTGTTGCCTGAACCTCCTGGTAGATCTGGTAGATTTCATCTGCCAAGCGCGCGAGCTGCGAGGATGTTCAATGGTGAAAAACAACCCACAACAATTTGCTTCTCTACCCAATTCCAATGATCGATTCCAAAGTCGGTTCCCAATATTCACCATGGGGTTGGCTGGGTCACCTTCAGGATTACAGGCAGGCCGTAGGGGACCTTCTGGATCCAAATTTCGTAGAGGGGAAAACGAAAAGAGGGAAGAGAGAGCCAAAGCCAATCACACTCTCCGTGAGACAACACCGCCGAAACCCTAGGATCAAAAGCATCATCAATGTGCCATCCCGTCGTGGCCTCCTCCTGAGCTTCAAAACCTCAGGAAAAGGAAGTGCGCATGGAAATGCTGCTGAACTGCCAGCCCGAGCTGGCAGGGTACCTTGGATGTTGCGTCTGCAAGACCACTGGTAAAATCTAACAAAGGCAGAGTTGCCCTTCCCCTTCAAGAAAGGCAGCTCCTAGGGTCAAATGAATTCAGGCCCGCATTGTCTTCCCCTAACAAGGAATGTCTCACTTCCTCTCTTCGTGCTCCTCGCCAGCCAATCCCTCTGTCTCCTTGACTCTCTGCCTCAACTTGCTCAAGCTGTTGAGGTAACCTGAGACCACGGCTAGCAGCTAGCTCCTCCTTGGTTCCCGCAAATTCGCGGGGCCGCAGCGGATCGCTTAGCCCCGTCAGGAGCCAAGCGCTGGACCACCCGCCTTGTTGGAGTACGGCTTGCATCTTCGATTTCATGTTCTGAATGCACTGAGCCGTGGTGCTCTCGTATTCCTTCTGCCGCAACATCTCGTAGACGGCTACGTCCTCGATAGCGCACCGATACAGCCCCTTGAACTTGCCCCAGTGGAAGCGCTTGATGTAGCCCTTGACTGTCCATGGAGCTCCTGGCACCACTCCTAGCTCCTCGATGGCTTCTCGTTCGAACTCTCTATCTGGTGATCCGCTTCTAAAGCCCGAACTGATTTCATGCCCTTGTCGGACCCGCCGATGTCCACAGCGTCTGAACTCGAGCCACCACTTGAACTGGAGCTGGAAGACTTTTTTCGGTGGCGGCTGCGATTCCGGTGGGGCTTGGGCTTCCTTTTCTCCATCATCATTTGGCACATCATCAAAGGTACCAAGCTGGACGGATCCCCGCCCGCGGCCATCTGGGCCTGGAGCAGGCTCTGGAAATCGAGCTCCTCCGAGCTTTCGGCCTTGCGGGAGGTTCTGTGACGCCCTTGCTTGGATCGGCCCTGGCCCCCAGGGGATTGACAAGCCACACTCTGATAATCGTCGCTGTCCTCTTCGCTCTCTTCGAACTCTTCCTCGCTCACTGCTTTTCCGGTCATCAACCCCTTCAGACGCCCCTCAAGCCAGCTTGGATGTCGGCTGTGGTATTCCGAACCATGCTGGACTCTGCCCAACAAAGCTGATGGATCAAGATTTTCGGCTTCGCTAGACTCAATGGGCACCTCCTCTCCTGAAAACCAAAGAGCTCGGGCTTTGCGGGGAGAAGGGGCTTTCGCTGACAAGTCTTTCGGCGAACCCTTTGGACGGTTGATCACCAGAGCGGAGATATGGTAGTCGGACAAAACCAACTTCCTCGCGCTTCACCACAGCAGCAACGCCCGGCAGAAGATCAGTAGAGCAAGCGACTATGGCGTCGGCACCTAAATTTTCAATTATCACACCTTAGTGTCCTGTTGGCCTCTAGCTCCTTTCAGGAGACAGGGGACCTGGGTTCCTTCTCTAATCATATTTGCTCTCGAGCCCACTTGCAGCCCGAGCGGGGACGTTGACCTCAGGTTCACGATCACACTCACAGGAATATGCTTTGCATAATACACAGGATACACATTTTACATAATGATATATATATATATACACATAGAGAGAGATAAATAAATATGTATAGAAATCGTATAGATATATAATTATACATACATACATACATACATACATACATACATACATACATACATTACATTACATTACATTACATTACATTACATAACATAACAAAACATAACATAACATACATACATACACGCATACATACATACATACGTAGGTACATATATACATACATACATACATACATACATACATACATACATACGTACGTACGTACATACATACATACATACATACTTAAATAGATACATACATACATACATGCATACATACATACAAACATGACATTACACTACATTAGATTTCACTTCATTACATTACATTACATACAACATTACATTACATTACACTACACTACATTTCATTGCATTACATTACCTTCCGTTACCTTACCTTACATTATATTACATACATTACAATAAATTAAATACATTACATTACATACATTACATACATTACATACATTACATACATTACAAACATTACATACATTACAAACATTACATACATACATACATACATACATACGTACGTACATCCATCCATCCATCCATCCATACATTACCATACATACATTACAATACATAAATACATACATACATACATTACACAAACATACATGTATACATACATACATACAGACAGACAGACAGACAGACAAACAGACATACATACATACACAACATACATTGCATTACATACATATATTACATTGCATACATACATACATACATACATTACATACATACATTACAAACACACATACATACATACATACATACATACATACATACACACATACATACATACATACATACACTACATACAGTACATACATTACATACATTACATACATTACATACATTACATACAGTACATACATTACATACATTACATACACTACAGACATTACATACGTTACATACATCACATCACATCACATCACATCACATCACATTACATCACATACATACATGCATTATATACATTACATACATTACATACATTACATACATTACATCACATTACATTGCATTACATTACATTACATTACACTACATTTCATTACATTACATTACCTTCCGTTACCTTACCTTACATTATATTACATTACATTACATTACATGACATAAATTACATACATTACATACATTACATACATTACATACATTACATACATTACATACATTACATACATTACATACATACATTACATATATTACATAACATACATAACATAACATAACATAACATAACAAAACAATACATACATACATTGATAATTACATACATGCATACATACATACATACGTACGTACGTACATACATACATACATAGGTACATGCGTACATACATACATACATACATACATACAAACATACATACATACATACATACTAACATAACATAACATAACATAACATAACATAACATAACATAACATACATTGCATTACATACACACATACATACATACATACATACATACATTCATACATGCATACATACATACATAACATACATAACATACATAACATACATAACATACATAACATAACATTACAAAACATAACATAACATACATACATACATTGATAATTACATACATACATACATACATACATACATACATACATTACATACATACAAACATACATACATACATACACACGTACGTACGTACGTACATACATACATACATACGTACATACGCACATACGTACATACGTACATACGTACATACGTACATACGTACACACAGACACAACAGAACATAACCTAACATAACCTAACAAAACATAACAAAACATAACATAACATACATACATCCATGCATGCATACATACACGACCCTGCGACATTGAAATCTTGGAACAGTGGGTCGTGCTTGGATCGTCAAAATCCATGGCTTCACAGGGCCAATCTCCATGGAGATCTTGCCTCCACCATATTCTCTCGGCACATGGGACGTGATTTGAGTCCGAAATCGCCCGAAATCAGTCCAAACAGTCCCAAACAGTAAAAAAAAAAAAATGGCGATGCGACCCAGCGTTACATCACAAAAACCAGCTGGTAATCAAACACGGCAATTGAAAATCAACTATATATTCAATGGAGGTTTTAAGGGGAAAATCAATGAAAATCATCTGTAAGTGGATATTCATTCCATTGCCACGTTTGATTACCATAGGGTACCATCTGGGGCCATACTCCCTTGTTTTGCTATCCTGCAAGGAGAAGGGGAAAACCCAAGCTGCTCTGTGGATATAATAAACAAACATCTGCTCTACCTAGCCCATGTTCACCTACCAATTACCAGTCGTCTAACCTAGCAACAAGCCATGATGCAGTTTCAACCCATCACGCCACTCTCCACTTGGGATCATGGGGTATGGACAGGATAGAAAACAAGTGTAAGAGAAACATAGATCTAGAACATTCTAGAACTAGTTTAAGGATTGGTTTAAGGATTGGAATATTATGTCATTCCACTTGTTAAGGATGAATGGATTTGTTTCCACTCTCAAAGAACGCCCCGCTCCGTCATTGCGCCACCAAGGATGGCAAGGACGGCAAAGAGGTAGAGCTGAATCTGCCGAAAGGTGGATCCAGCCGTAGCTTCTGAAGTATGACTAGGGCTTGATTTCAGGGGTTAGCCGTACCTGAAATCAGGTAGTTGAATCCATAGGGTTAGTGTTTACAAAATATATGTATATATATGGTCCATATCTAACTTATACGTAAAATCTTCAAAAGGCATAACGCATTTCGAGCTTGCAACTTGCTGGCCGACCTAGAGCCCGCCATGGCGCCACAGGAATTCAACTCCAAACATGTCATGACCGGGCGATTCATGGTGATACGTGATTCTGGTCATTGGATGTCAAGGTCATGGCGATTCATGGTCAAATTCATGGGGACGATCTGAATTTGCTGGGCAAAAAAATTGCATCCACGTGAACGAAATTTCATCAAACACATGTCCCTTTCGCGAGTATGCCATTTTTAGGGATCCGCTTCTACCTGTTCACGCAACATATCTAATCAAATAAAATCGGAAGAACAGCCTTTTCTAGTATCATTATTATTATATAACTATTCCATACTATTCCTATTTTTTGATTTCCCCCCTTTGTTATTGCTTTGAACCCAGCCTATGCAACATATTGACCATCGAGACGGCGACAGGCTTCAGAGACGGTCATGAGGTTTGGCTGCTCTGTACCCATCCACATGAGTCATAAAATAACCATGAAGATATATCTACTTCAGTTGGATTCACACCAATATATGTTAACCAAAAACAATCAGATATATAAAATTATCTATTTATATGTGTATACAACTTTTCATATATATATATACATCGACTTAGCTCTTGTTTGGGTCCGACCTGTTACCAATTTCTACTACACCCATCTTGCAGGTGCATCTGTCATGGACAAAGACACAAAAATGGCCTGGCACGACATTGCCGGTCGCTTGGCCTCGAACGAAGAAGGCGCCCGATCCAAAGCTTTGCATTTCTGACTGCCGCCAAAAACATTTTTATTCACTCATCTGGTCTTTGATTTTTCTGGTTTGCCGCCATGTTCACAGTCTACTTTAAAGCGGGTATGGGTCAAACATGGAAACAAAAAAACCTTGGCACCGCAGGGCGACATGGACCTCTCCATCCTGTGTGTTTCATAGTTTTTTGTGTCCGACCCATCCCGGTGACTGCTCATGGCGATATGATGAGTTGTGGGGCTTCGAAGCTGTGCAGTGGACCAACGGCTGAGTTCCACTCGCCTACATTGCATTAGATGGATTGAAGTCCAAAATAATGATATAACATGTTACACCCACCCTAAAATGACCATCTGAAGCCAGAAAATGATGAAGCACATGTTGGGAAAATGATAAAGAATGTGTCTGTCGGGGTGCCCTATGATTAAACAAACAAACCTATACCAAATGACATGACATTCAATCATTGTGGGCATAAAAAAAAAAAACAATTCCGACAGTAAAATGGACATGTTCATAATCTTGGGGTTAATGCTCCTTAAACTAATTTACAACGAGATCGTTATGAGGTTGTTGGAATTGACCAAGGCCAGATGCGGGGACAAAGGTTCGCATCATTCACCTATGGTCAGCAGAGGGCGGAGCTTTTTCATATTTGAGGATTCAGGTTTGGTCCAGTGATGTTTAATTATGTGAGAAGGTTGACCATTAAAGCGTGACATGGCCGTGATGCAGCGCCATCCTAGGCTTTAGATGTTACTGACCTTGCGACATCCTGTTGATAATTTGGATAAAACATAATGTTCGCAAGAAAAGTGATTGTAAGGTTTTGCAATTGATCTGGGGTCTCTGGAAATGGATTCTTGGGTCTTTCCAAATATTTTAAATATGGTGGCATTGAATTGTATTAAGGTACCTGACTATTTCCCCTGTGAGGTAACCAATTGGTTGATTAGATGGGTATTGTCTTACCATTAGTTATTTAATATATCTATTTGTTTTCTACCATGCTCATGGATAATTATATGTACATTATTATTTTCACTCTTAGGCAACCAATTGGTTGATTAAAAAGGTATCATCCCAGTATCGATTACGATTATTTGTTCAATCAAATTCTTTGGACAAACAGGGGTCCACTACCATTTCCCTTAAAGATCTTAAAGGGTACCCGACCAATTGCTGGATTAAAATGGAATAGGCATCATCATCCCTTTATAGGGTATGTACTATATCTATTTGTTTCAACCACGCTCATGTTTCTTCTAGGGTGGTGCCCCCATATACCTTCGGTATAAAGCCACCAATATTATCCCTGATGATCACTCTTTTATTCAAGTACTAAATTTCCCCATTATTTCTGTGTCTACATCATCTATCCTTTAAATGCAAATGTCCAATTATGAACTTTGCCGAACTCAGGGTGCCTTGACTTAGGCAAAAAACATATTTTTTTTGACGATATCCTAGGTGCTTGGCGGGGTATTGCCGAAGTCAAGGCGCAGATTTCTGCACCTAGACTTCGGCAATACAGAGGTTGTACCCTAGGATTTAGGAAATAAATGCCGATATCAGGGTGCAGAAATTTGCATGTGGACTTAGGAACCAGCCTTACTATTATATTCTACCATGATTTTTCCCGCAATGCATTCGGGGTTCTTCATTTTGAGATTTAGGCAAAACAAAAACACATTGCCGACCTTTTGGCTCGGGGGACCCCAAATCCATCGCCACCGCAAATCCGTCGCATAACAATATTTTATTTCACATTTTTTCTAAGTACTCAACCAAAAAAATCTGAACTATAACTACGATCGAATTGGTGACCGTTTGTTCTGACTGGTACTTCCACAAGTAGAAGGGTAAATGGATGGAGAAGCTAATTATCAATCCCCTTCTTGGCATGACTACCGAATGCCGGATAAGAATTCATAATATTGAAACATCCAAGGGACACTAACCCAAAACGATTTTTCCTTTTGGAAAAATCACTAGTATATACCAAGGCCACCTAACTTGATAGATAAAATAGATAAAGAAATAAATGTTGGAAAGCATATATCACACAATCAGAGATAGAACTAAATCACCAAGGACCCGCCCTATAGAATCAAATTCCAAAGACCCCTTATCGGCTGCAAAACCTTTAGTGCAGAATTGTGATAGTGCAGAGTTGTGAAATAACGAAGGATCGGGCCAGAGCGTAATTAATAAAACAAACAAACACAGGTGGTGGACAGGGCATTGCATAATATACGGTATACCTCAGGCCTGGTACATCTGGGTCATGGTATGGGAGCGAGCAGGAACCATGCTTATCATACTTTCAGTTGCTGACAACTGCACGGTTCCTACCAACAAGATAGAACCAAATCAGTGGCTTTCTTCGTTGATCTTTTCAACCCTTCCCTATACATGAACACTCAGATCTCTCAGCATCTTCCACAAATAGATGTGATGTCCGTTGAAGTCTCCACGAACACTGCCGCTTAATGCCATCAGAAAAAGTCGCCAGGGCGGGCCAAGATATAAACTGCGATTGCCCACAGGAGTTTTCCATGTTTTGTGGAACTCCAGGACAACGCGCTTCAAAAATCCTCTGCCTGAAGGGGTAATCTATTATGATCGCAGCTCGGGCGTTGGCCGCCAGCCTTTTGCGCAACCCATTCAGCAAACTGCATGAGACAACACACTGTCCTCACACCAGGTGAATTGTTGACATACTTTCCGGCTGTCAAGCATAGCGATGGACAATTTCACACCTATAGAGTCCTATAGATCTCTCTCTCCCATTATAAAACCTCCATTTCTGGAGATTTCTCAGCTAGCCATGTTTGACTGCCAAAGCGTAGTTTGACAGGGACCACGCCGGTTCAATGAAACAACATGGGGCATTCCCAAACATCAACCCGCAGGATCCAGGGACCCAGGACACAGCGCTGACTATCCAACACGGTGAACAATTCCCCCGTTGTGAGCATCGGTGTTTGAGGAAGGTTGGAGCAAAGGCTCCGTCGCATGGCCCAAACGCATCGAAAACCCTGGTGGCCCAAAATTCCGTGCAAATTATACACTTAATACACACGCGCAAGTGAATTGAAATTGACAAGCTGAGCGGCATGTGGTGCGCAAAGCATTGGCCCAATCATTTGTGCAGAACAGTTTGATCAAACTATCATTGAGGAGTATCATCCCATCAAAGCTGCCATGGATCATTGCATCATGCAGCTCGTGACTGGTAGTACAAACTCGTCAAGTTATTACAACGATTTTTCCGCTGAAAACCTCAAAGTGTTAGTCGGGAAAGTCGGCTACTTTAAGGGTACATACGGTATACCCCAGGCCCCAGGCCTGGTACATCTGGGTTATGGTATGGGAGCGAGCAGGAACCATGCTTATCATTTGTGGGCAGCCTAGTCCCTGTAACAGTGGAAAAATTGTTTTTAATTATAACTACCACCCCAGGGGGAGCACAAGCAAATCCCGTTTTTTCAAAACTATCTTTTGCAACTTCTAAAAGTGAAAGTAAGAACCTGACAACTAAGACAGCATTCTTTTTTTCTTTTCTTCAAATCAGCACCTGTGGAAACACTAAATTCAGAACAACCTGTGGGAACACTAAATTCCAGTATGTTAGACCCAAGGTTTTTCTGATTTTAGTGTTTCCACAGGTGTTGACTTAAGAAAACCAAAAATTGCCTTAGCTGTCAGGTTCCTAGTTTTTCTTTTAGAAATTGCAAAAGGTAGTTTAAAAAAACTTGATTTACTTGTGATCCCCCTGGGGTGGTAGTTATGATTAAGAACAAATTTTCCACTGTTACAGGGACTGGGCTTCCCACAGGATAGTCACTAGAGTACAGTATATGCTTAGCCAATGCAGCCAATACATGCTGTTATGAAAAAGTAAAATGACATGAAAGTCTTTTTATCACATTTCACATTTTTATGTACCCTATGCACGCTATACATTGTGGAATACTCTATGGCTTGTGGCCCTCTTTGAAAACTCTACAAGCCAAAGATAGAGTACTCAAGGGCCCCAGAAGCCAAAAGGACCAAAAAAGGTCACAAAAAACAATTGCAGAAGAAAAGAAGCAATAGCCCATTCACAAAATTTGCTTCTAATGCATTTCCTTTTCTTAAGCTGGACTTTTTCCTCTCCGTTTTTCATTCTTTTCAGGTTTGGCGAAGCAAAAAAATAGCAATTTTAGCTTTCGGGACTCTTGAGTGTATGATGTGGGGTCTCTAGAGTCCTGAAAGGGGGCCAAAGAGTGTCCCGTAGAGTATCAGAAATGTAA